TCACTTCTCTTTTTAAAAAAATTTTTTTTTTTTTTACTTTTTGTATTTCTGATCATCCAAGTAAAAATTACCAAATTTTAAATACATTTCCTTTTTCGTACATATAAAAATTTTCTATGTATAAAAGTGTTTGTATATATGCATAAATGTGTATATAAAATGAACAGAGTGTATATGTGCATAAATGTATACATAAAAATGAACAGTGTATGTAAAAATATATATCATATATACAATTTTATGTCTTGCTATTTTCCATACCTGTCTTTACACACTTTTAAACACTTCTGATAATCATCAAATGTATATTCCATAAATTCTTAATCACTGGGGCACCTGGGCGGCTCAGTCAGTTAAGCATCCAACTCTTTATCTCAGCTCAGGTCTTGATCTCAGGGTTGTGAGCTCAAGCCCTGCTTTGGGCTCCATGCTGGGCATGGAGCCTACCTAAAAAAAATTCTTAATCACTTCTTTGTGTTGGGCTATGTAAGTTGACTAGAATTCCTCCTTATTTATTTTAAACAAGTGTGTAGAGAGTAAAAGCGGGAGATATTGGTAACATCCAAGGAGAGGAAAGAAAACATAACAACTGTGTGGATATTTCCTGTGGCTGGGGCTGGGAAACATAGACAGCCATAGTTGGATCAATGGAAACCAACATAAGTGACTGTTTCCTGGAGTATTCTAGAACATACATATGTGTATCAGGGTTCTTAAACAATTGGGGAAATGATGAAGAGTATAATACCTAACATGTATGTAACACTTTTCTTCCTTACTCTGTGCTATTTCAAAAAGGATTTAGGGTGAACTCAACAACAAAAAACAACTCAAAAAATGAGCAAAGAACTTGAGGGGAGCCTGGCTCAGTTGGTAGAGCATGTGACTCTTGATCTTGGATTGTGAGTTCAAGCCTCACGTTGGGTGTAGAGATTACTTAAACATAAAATCTTAAAAAAGAAAAAGAATTTGAACAGACATTTTGCCAAAGAAGATACACAAATGGTCAATAGGCACACAAAAAGATGATCAACATCACTAATCATCAGGGAAATGTAAATCAAAACCACAACAAGATATTGCTTCACACCTGTTAGGATGGGTAATAAACAAACAAACAAAATAACAAGTGTTGGAAAGGATGTGGAGAAATTGAAACCCTTGTGCACTGTTAGTGGGATTGTAAAATGGTGCAGCCACTGTGGAAACGGTCTGGTGGTTTCTCAAAAAATTAAAAATAGAATTAACATATGATCCAGCAATTCCACGTTTGGATATATACCCAAAAGAATTGAAAGCAGGGTCTTGAAGCAGTATTTGTGCACCTTTGTTCATGCTTCATGATTCCACGGTAGCCAAAAGGTAGAAGGAACCCAAGTGACCATGGATAGATGAATAGATAAACAAAATGTGGTATGTACACACAACTGAATATTATCCAGCCTTAAAAAGGAAGGAAATTCTGACACATGCTACAACATGAATGAACCTTGGGGACATTATGCTAAGTGAAATAAGGCAATCACAAAAAGACAAATACTGTATGCTTTCAGTTATGGGGTTCCTACAGTAGTCAGATTCACAGATGCAGAAAGTAGGATGGTGGCTGTCGGGGGTGGGTGAAGGGGTGAATAGAGAGTTGTTTAATTGGTAGAGAGTTTTGTTTTTGCAAAGATGAAAAGAGATCTGGACATTGGTTGAGCAACACTGTGAGTGTACTAACCACTACTGAACTGTATACTTAAAAATGGTTAAGATGGTAAATTTTGTTACTTGTATTTTACCACAAGGAAAACATTTTTAATTACTTTTAAAAAAGGATTTAGGGTACTTACAGTACTTTGTACTTTCTAAAACGCTTTCGCATACAAATCCCAGTTGATCCTTAAAACAACCTGTAAGGGAGCAGGTTTGGTATTTTCATTCTCATTTTGGAGTAGAAGAGATTCCCTTGTAGGGATGTCATGGCGCCCCCACAGCCTTTAGGGGAAAGGGATGGCTCCAGCCTACCCTGGAATCCTTAATGGTAGGATGTGATCCCATACTTTCTGATCCTCATTCTCATCCAATCCGTGGCCTAGTGACCTGTGCCTGGCCCCCAGCAGGCTCCCTCCGTCACTCACTCTCCTAACTTTGCAGACTCACTCAGGGACTGGAGGTTCTCCTGGATGCCCTCTCGGGACTGTACAGAAAACTCAGAGGTGGAGTGGTAGCCTCTTCCAGCAAAATGAACAGAATCTAAGTGTTAACAGTTTGATGAGTTCTAACAAAGCCATATATCTGTATAAGCCACACTCCTATCAGGATAGAGAACATTTCCATCACCTCAGAAAGTTTCCTTTCCCACCCCAAGGCAACTACTGCTTTGATTTTTTATTCCATGAGAACTTTTAATTCTTTTTTTTTGGCAGGGGGTTGGGAGGAGATGGCTTTTTGCTGAGTATTCTTCCTGAGTGATTGTTTATGCCAGGACCTGGGGCCTGTTAAACTTAAAAAAGAAGTAGCTTCCTTTGTTTCTCCCTCATTTTAATTATAGCTTTCCTTTCCATGGGGCCTGTCTGTCCCACCAATCTGAGGGTCCCTTGAAGGCAAGGGCCAAGCCTATTCGTCTGTGTCCTCAGTGCCTAGCACACAGTAAGAGCGCAACAGGTGCTGGGCACTGTTCTAAGCACCTTTCACACATCAATTCACTTAATCCTTGTAATACTCTATGAGGAAGGTTTTATCATGCAGTCCATTTCACAGATGAGGACAGTGAGAGAGATTTAACAGCTTGCCCAAGACACCATAGCCAGGAAGCAGCAGAATTGGAATTTGAACTTGAGCAATCTGGCTCCAAGTAGGGCTGTTAATCGGTATTCTCATCTGCCCCTCAATTACATGTGTTTGTTGAATGAATGAACAATGAAGCTTTTTCGCCTTCCCATCTCAATATGTCCATAGCCAAATTAAATGGTTCTCTCCCCAAAACTTCTTTTCCCCACATCTGACCTCTCTTCCTCCTGGGTCTCAGAGAAACATGGACACTTTCTTTTCTTTTTAAAGATTTTATTTATTTATTTGTCAGAGAGAGAGCACAAGTAGGAGGAGCGGCAGACTGAGGGAGAAGCAGGCTCTGGGTGAGCAAGGAGCCAGATGAGGGACTCAATCCCAGGACCCTGGGATCATGGCCTGAGCAGAAGGCAGACGCTTAACCGACTGAGCCACCCAGGCATCCCAGCATCTCCTCCCCAGCCTAATTTACTGCCTACCTGCCTACCTGCTTGTACTCACTAATCTATGTCTTACATTTTCCCTTAAGCTCTTCTTTCTGGCTTACCTCTTAACTCAGCACATGAAACCCAAAGCCACCACTCAGGTGATGGTGAAGGCCCTGATAAGACCTCCCACCAGCCCAGACCACCTAGACATTTTGAGCTCGACCCCCACTCATGACTGCGCGGATGGACCTCTGGAATGACCTACAACTACCTTTACTTCATCATAATACCAAAATATCTGCCCAAGGAGGAGACTTAGACTCATTTACATAACATACAACACACGTATAAGCATGTTTCCTTAAAGCACTTGGGTAACCTTATGCACACCTCTACACAGGAACAAGGCTTCCCTATCTAAATATTCATCCTAACCCTAAGCAAAAGGAACCCATTCACCCTTTCTTGGGGAATCAAGGCTTTGGAAGCCATTCCCCGTGATCTCCTTATTTGCTGCAAATACAAGTTTTCTTTGTATGACAACTCAACATGGTTCAGTTTCTGACTCACTAAGGAGCAAACTCACATTGGTTTGGTTGCACCTTTGCAAATGCTGCCCCACTCTTTGGGGGCCTTGGGGTTTACATGCATTATTATTTAACCTTCACGATAATCCACAAGCTAAATATTATTATTCATGTTTTGCAGATGAGAAACCAAATAATAGACTCCAGGTTCAAACAGGGTTTGTCCGGCTCTGAGGACTCTTCCATCTGAACAAGGACTGGTGACCTTAAGCAAGTCACTTAACCTTCACGAATCTCAGATTTCTCAGATTTCTCATTCATAAAATGGGGATAATAGTGGTAATTACCTCATTATGAGAGCAACTGAGATAACAGCACAGTGCCTGACACACAGTAAGTGCTCAGTGATAATTAGCAATTAAAGTTCACAAAGCCTATAGCATACATAGCATGAGAGCTGGCTAATTGTTATGGCCAAAATGCTATCTGGAAGGGCTCTTGAACTACAGCTGGGAAGAAATTGCCACACCCGGCCCCTTCTTAGTCTCTCAAAGGAGTTCTCTCCAGGGAAACACTGTATGCGGTATGAAAAAAATTACCATACTGCTCACTTGCAATCCGGATGCACAGCCAATAGAAAATACATCCAGTCTAGCGGAGAGCACAGAGAAACTGCCCAGGGTGTGTGACCACAGGCAATCTTGAAAACTCTGAACTTTTGTCATTTACCAATTGGAAATAATACCTTCCCCCAGGAAAACTGAGATAACGCACATGCAGCCTTTAGGGCATTGCGGAACACATAGTAGGACCTACGTAAAGGAGTTGTACAACATTATCATAGTCAGATAATGTATATGAGCGCGCTTTATTGCAAGGACAAGATGGATTTATAAATCATGTTATCAAAATCAAGCGTTAAAAGTACAGGAAAGGTAAAAGGATTGTACAAATCAGGTACTGGTGCATATCTTGAAAACCTAATTGCCCCCCAGGAGGAAACAAGCAGCTCCGGCCCTGAAGCCTGAGTGGGCAAGGGTGGGAGGAACTTCGGCTCTCGCCCACCCGCCTCCGAGCCCCGCCTCCAGGGTTGCGTGACGCGGCACCCAAGCCCCGCCGACGGGGGGCGGGGCCGGCCCTGGTCACGTGAGCGCGGGTGCGGAAGTGGTGCAACGGGCGGCGTCTGTGGTTGGCCGAGGCCGCGGGTCCCGGGGGCGGGGTCAAGCCGGCCAGACGCACCGGGAGGAGCCGGGGGAGGAGGCAGGCGCGGGGGCCGGCGTCAGAGTCCGGGGTTTGGTCTGCGGGGCGATCGAGTGCTGGACCGGTGGCGGTCCCGTGCGCCCCGGCCAGCGCGCGCCAGCAGCTCTGGGTACCCCAGGCCGAGGCGCCGGCGGCTGCGGCAGACCAGTAGGGTGGGCAGAGGGGGGCTCGGAGGGCGCCCTGTGCGCGGAGCAGGCGTGAGGCAACCGGGGGCCGGGACGCCATGTCCATGGAGGACCCCTTCTTTGTGGTGAAAGGGTGAGTGTCCCCGTGGGCTCCCCTGGAGGAGAACGTGGCCGTGCTGCCAGCCCGCACCTCCCCGCTCTTCTCGCTAGAGGGGGAGGGGAGACAAGTGGAGGCTAGGGAGGGGACAGTGAGGACGGCTTAGCTTGCAGGGCCATGACCAAGCGTCCAGAGACATCCCCTCCGCGTCCTACCTGGACTGTGAAAACCGTGCCCCCGACCAAGCCCCTGGGGAAGGGGATCCCTTTTGGGATGTGCGCGGAGATACAACTTATTTGGGGTTCGAGGGGATCAGCAGCTCTGCAGGTGGGGAGGGAAACACGCGTCCCAGCCCATACTGGGGCTCTAGTGGAGCACGGGGCCTTACTTCGAAGGGGGGAAAACAGCATCTGGGCAGGAAAAGGGAAATGGCCCTCCTGAGCTTTGTAGTTGGCGTTGATGGGGGTGAGCTCCCATTGTCCATTGAGTTTGGAGCGCCGGCCCGCAGAGTGGTGAGACCACAACACGCCCAGAGGCGTCTGAGCACGTTTGCAGGCTGGGCTGCGGGGGAGCAGGGCTCCGGAAGACAACTCAATTCAGTGGGGGCGTTTTTACTGAGTAATGTGAGGGGAGGAAAGCAGTCGTTCGAACTCGGCGATGATGTTGGAAGGAAAACAAAATGAAATCAGCCAAACTAAACTTTCCTCAGCTTTCTATTAGCAACTGGGATTTTCCCACAGTGCTAAAGGAAGTGAGTGCTTTCTTTTTAACTCCCTGATTTCATCCAGGCTCTTTGACAGGTTTCCCCCATTTCTTATCCAGCCTTTCAGAACAGAACTGCCTTAACTTATTTTTCCCTATGAGCTGTCCTGACTCCATCTTTGATTGCTCGATTGTTTGGAGATAGAAACTTTATTTGCACTTTGTTATATTATGTTTGTAGCCATTAAACAAATGCAAAAAAAGGTCGATTCTCATGCTGTTGTAACTTGTCAGCTTTATGTTTTAAATGACAGACATAAAAAAATCCGAGAACTACAAAGTTCCCAGATCAGTACTAATAACCACGAAGTGTCCCTTTGCTTGCAACTAGTTGCTGCTAGCTTCCTATTTCTGCTGACCAGTTGCTTGAGTGTTTGTGTTTTTTAAGGATTCTCCTCAGAAAATTTACTTGGTACTTTAGGTGAAGTACTGTTATCCATGATACGGTAAAATATATTTATATACTTTTTAACATTTTCTTAAAAGGTTTTCTTCTTCATCCTACTTAAAGGTAGATGGGAAAATGCTGAGTTGCAGATTGACTAGTAATATGTGGCTTTCTACCTGGAAAATGTGTTATTTGTTAGAAGGATTAGTTTAGGGGTTAATTTTTAAATGTTAAGGCTGTGTGTCTTTCCCTTGAATGAAAGTTCTTAATGCTTAGGTTGCAAAGGTTATCTCTGGCAGTGGAAACCAGGGATAATCAGAAATTTTTTGTTTGCTTGATTTTTAATGGAATCTGTGAAAATGCTAAATTGCTCTGCCATCTTGGTCTTTTTTTCCTGATAGACCCAATATAGTCTACCAGTGCTTGCTCACTGATTAGATATCACTGCTGTATTGGAACATTGGCCTGGATTCTTCATTGACTTTTACATCATTTTAGCTCATGTCCTAAGGTATCTGAAGGAAGAGATTGGCAATACCTTCTGCTGTAGAAGGTAAAGTTAGCCACAAGGGTGTATCCAGACTGTGACAGAGTATCTGGGGAGCCGTGTACCTCTATTTATTAAAAGTATTGAAAATGCATCAAACGATGTGGAAAATTAGATGCCTAAGTTGTGGCCCCTAGCCTAGCAGCTGATGGTTCTGAGAAACAACTCACCCCAAAATTAAGTAGAAATGACAGGTGATAAATTAAGCACTAAAGCAAATGTTACAGAAGATTAAGTGCCCCAGTAGTTCTGAGAAAAGCAACTCATTAGAAATGGTTATGATTGGAAAAGCTTTTAGAAGTAGTAGTAGGTCTTGAATTAGGTTATGAAGATGGGTAGAATTGAGATAATTCAGGCCTGTGTCTCATCTGGACTCTTATTAAAGAGTCTCTTAATTGGTCTGCCTGCTTCTAGTCATCTTCCTTTGGTTCTGTTGGGTCAGTGCTATCTAAAATATAATGTGAGCCATATATGCCATTTTACATTTCCTAGTAGCCATGTTAAAAAGTAAAAAGAGGGGCACCTGGCTGGCTTAGTCGGTGGAGCATGCGACTCTTGATCTCTGTGGCGTGAGTTCAAGCCCCACACTGGGCGAGGAGCTCACTTTATTTTTTTTAATTTTTAAAAAATATTTTACTTATTTATTTGACAGAGAGAGCGAGAGAGGGAACACAAGCAGGGGGAGTGGGAGAGGGAGAAGCAGGCTCCCCACTGAGCAGGGAGCCCGAT